CCACTCAATTCTTATGTAATTACATATCTAACACCAAAATTTTACTTCTTGCATCACATCCAAAATATCACTATTTTTTCTTTTTTATATAGTGAAATTCACCTTTTCATGCAATGGTTATGTGGTATGTTTGTCAAGTTTGAAGTTTGGGTGTGAAATATATGCACACAATCTTCCTTTTCTAGTATAAATTGTGGATCTTTGGTGATTAAATCATGCACGGAGCCTTGTCAATGAATACCTTAATGATACATAAGATTTACCTTGGTAAAACTTTCGATACGCTGCCTCATCTTTCTTTGAATGAAACCTTTTGTGCACTGCTGAGTTTACTTAATCTTTAAAGATTTAGAAATAGTTATTTTAATAATTAGGATTGTAATTATTGCTAATTACCTTCACATAGTATTTAATGTATGCATCCATATTCAGAAGAATCCACATAACCTTATCTGCTCTTTCACCTTTAACATGATGTGGAAGAATGTCTGTAAAGAACCAAAACCCAAGAAAGAAAATCAGACAGAAATATTCCAAATTTCTAGGACCATGCTCGAGTAACTGCTCATTTTACTCTGAATTGATTGGGGTAATTACATACATAGCACTCAAAACATTGCTATTTACAAATCTTGCTCACTCTTTCATCCTTTCTTTCAAATGTTCACTCAAATATCAAAATTCATGATAAAATCCTAACCCATATTTTTCATTTCTATCCAATTCTCAATTGTTTGATTGTGGCATGCATAATGCAACTGTTTGTTAGTTCAAGCAATCACCTTGGTGTAACTTTGTAAATAGCAATGTTTTGAGTGTTGTCTATGTAATGATCGCTTGATTTAAATTTGCTTACCGAAGATTACAAATCCTCCATTAGTTGTTAAGTACTGGAAATTCTCCCCTCTCAATTCCAGAGGAGGTATTGGTGACCATGTACAATGTGGTGCCTTGGCATAAGCAGATGAGTTTGCAACATCTGTTATTTCCTGTTTTTGATATTTGCATTGCGAAAACAAAAACGATAATTATTGGAACTTGAAAGTAGATCACTAGAAAGCATTATTCTTTTGGGAATTTTACATGCATACCACCCAATTATTATGTTCTTACATATCTAACACTTAAGCTTTGCTTTTTACATTCATAACATCAAATCTTTCATATCACATAAAAAACACTACCATGTTAACTTTTAAAAGTGAAATTCACCTTTTTATGCATAGATAAGGTGGAATATATGTAAAAATTAATGTTTTGGTGTTAGATATGTAGGGGGGTTTTTTTTAAAATTTTTTTTTTTTTTTAAAAAAAAAAAAAAAAAAAAAAAAAAAAAACTTGCCTGAAAGAAAGCTGTTGCAAGAATAACGTCAGAGTAATCTTTAAAACGCATGGGAAATATGGCAGTTAACTTTTCTGGCTGTTACATGAATACACCATGAAGTCAGCTTCTTTAGAACAACAGAAGTATTATTTAGCAATGTTTAGGAAGATAAGAGCAAGTTGAAGTGGTGAAAGCATATAATTGTCTGAGGTTATTCTTAGAATAAAATTTCTGTTAAATATTCAATAGTTATTCGATAAAGGTTGGTTACCAATCTCAAAAAGCATCAAGCTTTCTCTTTGGGATCATTTGGAATCACTTTTGTTTTTTATTTTTAATTTTTAATGTTTATTTTGTTTTTTTTGTATCTTTTGATTTGAAACAAAATATGTTTTGCTATTTGGTTAAAGTATGGTTGCTTTTAAAAACACTCAAAATACCTAGAAGCTAAAGCTAAAACAAAATATGTTTGGCTAATTGGTTAAGGTATGGTTTTGGCTGCTTTTAAAAACAAAAGAAAAAACTAAAACTAAAATGAAATACAAAATTGATCTCAACCAAGCCCTTAGTAAATGTCGTGGCAATACTTTTGAGTTGTCTCTTTGTTAGACACAATTAAGCCTAGCTGAAAGTTAAAATCTTTATTAACGAACAAAAAAATAGCACTAAAACTGAGCTATGGTTTTGAGGACTTAAAAATCGTAAGTTATGATATTCTAAAACTACTTTAAATTGTTGAAACAGGTTACTTGTTGGATGTAGTTTATAAAAAATATACCGTTCTTATGATGAAAAATGGGTCTCTTGGGTGATAAACAAGTTTGATGGGCTTGTACACCCCGTAAGACACCTCTTGAGAACCAATACTCCACAAAATGTCTTTCAATTGCGAGTTCAATATGCTTGCTTGGAGGGATGAAATTTCTGTGATAGCCTTCATACGATCTTCTGAAATTTTTTTTTGTTTATTTTGTTAGCAAAGAAGTAGATAAATAGCTATGATAAGAAAATGGAGATCTAGAAACAGTTCGATAAGTTTATGTATTGAAAGAAAATAGTGCGGTTTAAGATAAAGATGAAGGTATTTAGAAAATATGAAATGTCATATTAAAATTTATGAAATGGGATTTTTAAAGAAAATTTGTTCAAAAAATTAAAGTGAACAAAGCCATTAAATATGTTATAGACTTATCTAAATAATCAAATTTCAACTTGTTTTGAAAAAAATGCATTAAACTAAAGATTTATATGAGAAATCTATTGAGATTTAGAGAGTTATTGAAAGTATTGAAATAGTTATATTACTAAAATTTTCAAGAAAATTAAAAATATTAATAAAATGAAAAATGATTGGAAATGAAATTTTTGATACTACTCTTTTCAAAAGAAAGAAGATTTGTTGACCTATTTTTTAATGCAAGCCCACTTCTAACGTATCATTGAACTTTTATAGGTTTAGCGCAAGCATAAATGGTCCCTCTTCAAGCTTTTGATCTATAGTTGGGAATTGGCATTATGATCCATCCACTAAACAATTTGACATATTTGATCCATTGAGTTCCTATCATTTCTAATTGCTTAAATCTCATCTCAGTTGACCTAAAATCACATCTCATAATCTAAGGTTGTTAAATACCCCAATGGTTTAATCAAATATGGACTTAGATAGTCCATATGGCATTGGATTCATCTAAAAGAGTTCCAACTAAACCATATAGGCTCAGTAGAATCTAGTGGAATCTTCGGCATGCTTAACCTAGTTTAATTGTATTTTACGTCTAAATTGACTTAGATTAAAGACCCCATAGCACTTTTACAATTGTGAATCCATATGTGGCACCTTGGATTACCCACTCGAAATGATTTTGCATCTCTATACATGAAATTCTTTTCTCTACTTATGTTGAGCCTCTACCAGAGATATATATGGGATAAGATATTTGCGCTGCATCTTTTATTTCATCTTGAACCAGGTAGTAATTAAATTCTTCTATTCTCTCTATCAAATTTGCTTCAAGTTCCCCACCATGATAAAACATTTTTACTAAGCTTGTTGATGATTAATTTAACTCTCTTTTCTTGAGAAATATCCTTGTACTAAAAAATTTGCTCCACTGTCTGAAGTCACTTGATAAATTTATCTGAATCCACGCGATCGTCGAAATCCAATATGTCCACCTTTACTTTAAAAATCTTTACTTCTTCTCTGATAGTCCATGCCAAATCTAGCTAGTGGTTCTTCGTCAATGGAAAATGCTTGGTGGAAGGGATTCACTTCATCCTATCGATCTAACAAGTCACCGTTATAGCTATCGATGATCTCACCAAATTTTCTCCTCTCAATAGAGACAAGCCTATGTTGCAATTGGTGGATTTCTACATGTAT